TAAGATGAAACTAGAACTCACCGTCTCCTGGTGATCGGCCCAAAGTCACCCTGGTGGCTTTCATGCCTAAGGCGGAACTAGAACTCACCGTCTCCTGGTGATTGGCCCAAAGTCACCCAGGTGGCTTTCATGCCTAAGGCAAGACTAGAACTGACCATCTCCCGGTGAGAGGCTCAAAGTCACCCAGCTGGCTTTCATGCCTAAGGCAAGACTAGAACTCACCTTCTCCTAGTGATTGGCCCAAAGTCACCCAGCTGGCTTTCATGCCTAAAGCGGAACTAGAACTCACCGTCTCCCGGTGAGAGGCTCAAAGTCACCCAGCCTGTTCTGCATGCCTAGGGCACGATTAGAACTCGGGGTCTCCTGGTGATGGGCCTAAAGTCACTCAACTGCCTTTGAGGCCAAGGTGGGTACTAGAACTCACAGTCTCCTCATTTCTAGCTTGGTGCCTTCCCCATTAGACCAAAGGGATAGTAAAGAGGGTTAATAACATTGGGAAGATGCTCAGCGCATGAAGAGTTCTTTTTCGTGCTCGTTGGTGTTCTGTTCTCGGCCACGCTTCTGCAAAACCTGCTTAGTGAATGTCTTGCTTAGCAACATACACCTGGGGCTCAATTGAGGCCATAGGTCAAGGACTACCTGAAAACGGCTTTTGTCTTGTTAGGAAGTGTTCCAAGAGAAGGACAACCTCAACCAGCGCTACCACCGCAAGAGGGCCCTCTACCTGGCCCACCTGGCCCAACACCTGGCTGGGACAAACCGCTTTGGGAGCGTGGCCTTCGCCTACCAGAATGGCAACCATTTGAAGCCCATTGTGCTCCTCCAGCCACAAGGTAAGCTGGGTGTTGGGGAGGGGAAAGGAAGGATTTTGCGCACGTGGCTAAAAGTGGGGGAGTAAAAGAACCGTGGAGAGGAGGAAGCAGGCAGCTTCCTTGGAAGAGAAGAGGTTTTGCTGTCATCTTTCAGGACTCGTTTTTACTTCCTTTCGTTCTCTCCAACCCTTCCGACCCTTCCTTCCTTTCCTTCCCTTCCCTTCCCTTCAGACTCTCCCTTCTTGTCTCCTTCCTTCCCTTCCTCTCTTCCCCTCCCTCCCTCCCCTTCTGACTCTCCCTTCTTGTCTCCTTCCCTCCTTCCCCTTCCCTCCCTCCCTTCCCCTTCTTCCCTCCCCTCCCTTTCCCTTTCCCTTCCCTTCCGACTCTCCCTTCTTGTCTCTTTCCTTCCCTCCCTCCCTTTCCTCCCTCCCCTCCCTTTCCCTTCCCTTCTGAGCCTTCCCTCCCTTCCTCTTCTGACTCTCTCTCCCTTCTTGTCTCTTTCCTTCCCTCCCATTCCTTTCACTTCCCTCCAAACTCTCCTTCCCTCCCTCCCTCCCCCCCTCCCTCCCTCCCTCCCTCCCTTCCTTTCCCCCTCTCTTCTTTCTTGTCTCCTTCCCTCCCTCCCTCCCTCCCCCTCCATCCATCCATCCTTCTTCCTCAGCCTGCCAGGCCCCCATCCAAGTACTAAACCAGGGCCCCTCCTGCTTAGCTTCCGAGACTTCATAACCTCCTTTCTGGTCTTCCCACCATTGTGCCCGATTCCCATCTTTTCGGAGGTTTTTTGAAAGGCTAATAAAGCCCAAAGCCAAACAGACAGGACTCTGATTGCGTCTCTCTCTCTCTCTGTGTGTCTGTTTGTATGTAACAACAAGTCATTTTGGACAACGTCCACATTGCTAATTTTCCCTTTTTCTTCTCTTCTCCCTTCCTTCTTTTCCTCCCCGTCCGCCTGGGTGTGTGTGTGTGTGTGTCTGCAGGGAAGGACGCAAAGACGGTGAGAGTCCGCCTCCATGCCTGCTCCGCGCCTGGCGTCTTCCGGCCTCTCCGTTTGCACCCCAGCAAAAACAACATCCGGACTGCTTGGTTCACGGAGAAGGACTCGCCCGGGACAGGTAAACTGCGAAGACGTTCAGCTGGCGTTCCCCAACCATGGCCGCTTTCAAACACGTGGACTCCGACTCCCAGAATTCTGCCTGGGGAATTCTGGGAAATGAAGTCCACGTGTGTCATGCCCCTACTCTGAG